TGACTTGAGACCTCCCTTGCTGCAGAAACACACACGTTTCTATCTCTTCTTTCAGGTATTAATATGGTGTATTAAGTGCACATCTTGACAAGACAAGAGGTATTGCAAGATGTACCATACTTAATGTATATATATTTTTTTATTTAGAAAAGTAAGGGTCAGACTTGATGATCTGCTCAGGTCCCTTCTGACCCTACCAACTATGAAACTAGTTTTGAGTATCTGGCAATAAGTAACTGGGAACAAGCAACTGAGTATCCACAAAACTGTCTTTTCTGATAGGTGCATTACATATTTGTACTAATGGGGTCCTTATATTCTAGGAGGAAGATATACCTCCAGTTTCATTTCTGAAAATTATGAAGCTAAACAAAACTGAATGGCCTTACTTTGTCGTTGGGACTTTGTGTGCAATTATCAATGGAGCTTTACAACCTGCGTTTTCAATCATATTTTCAGAAATTATAGAGGTAAGGTTAAATAAAGTCTGTAAAATGTCAAATTGCTCGTTTTACTTTTGATTTTTATCCCTAAATACACTGACATTGTTTTACAATAAATGGAGATTTTTTTTTCAAGTTTTAGATTATATCCTGTGTTGGGGAGACCAGGAGTAGGTGAAGGAAAGGGGGACATCTAGATAGAATTCTCCAGTAGGCATTCTAGCTACTGAGCTGTAATTTTGCCAGGTGAGGTTCTACCATGAAGATATCACTGTTAAGTTCCCTAACTACATCTGAGCTAGTCTGCTAGAAATGCTGCCTCTTTTATGGCGCACCTTATATCCTGATTTATCTTCTCCACACTTTAGAAAAGACAGTATAATTAGAATTTGCATTTTTGCAAAGGCTATGTGCACCACTTAAGTTATTAAACTAGCTTTCTTTTGGTCACTGTCTTGATACCTTCTTCATTCTTTGTAAGCTTTATAAGGTTTTTTTCAAGTAGGAGAAGACATTGAAACTTGTTCTAAATACAATTTATTACACTTGCTTGGATACCTGAATTTATTAGGATAATGTTAATAAAGGCAAACATCTGCCTCCTTTGAATTTGTTGAGTTTATGTATATTAATAACAAAGTATTTTTAAATAAGGTTCTAGTGAATATAGACTTTGTTTGTTTGGGTCTTTCATGCAGTGATTAATTTCTGCCTAGGTGCTCCTGTGACTTGACAAAATTTTTTTTTTTATAAAATAGATTTGTATTTGAAGTTTCCAAGCACCTATTAAGCTCATAAACAAATGAGTTAAGATATTCTTCAAACATTTTATCAGAATTCTTTCAAACCCCACATGGAAAACACTTAACATGGTATTCAAAGACAGGTTTCTTTGTGTACTGTGCATTTTCCGCATCTTTCTACTTTTTTTTAATTATTATTAAAGATAAATGAGAATAAATAGTTTCCATGTTGCTCACAACTTCATGTACCTGTACTAGTTCTACCTCCTTTCAAGTCATAATCTTCTGCTTTTGACATTATGGTTGTCTCCACAAAAACAAGCTGATGTCAACAAAAACAGGACTATATATTCCAATGAAGAAAAATATAAATTGCTACTACTTTAATTAAAAACCAAAGAAAAAGAAAAATAAAAAAATATATTTGTCGTAAAGCAGATATGTTTAAAAATGGACTAGAAGGAATGAATGCCTATTTAAATATATATTATTTTCCAAAATATACACAAAGGCAGAAAACTATCAGGAAAAATAATTATAAGATAAATGTATACATAATAATTAATAAGTTATAAGTTATTTTACAGAGAATTTTTTTTTTGTTTGGAATTCAGACATAAGGCTTGGGACAGAAGTTGAACGTAAGCCAATTTAAGTGATCTGAAACTGGTTTAAATCTGTAACAGAACAGAATTTCAGTGCCCATAGACCGGTTTCAAAATGGCCAAAACCAGTTTAAGATAAACCTGGATGGATGTAGTATCTGCACTGATTTAAGTCAGACTGGTTTATGGGATGTCCGTCCAAGATCCCCTTCTGTTTCAACTTAACTCATAGTCCCCCAGCATCCCAGGATGCTCTGCAGCCCTGGGTTGTGTTTTCTGCTTCAGCTGCCCCCATCCCCCTGCTTACACAGAGCTGAGGCAGTAAAGCCTCATCTCCCTAGCCTCTGCTTGTGCCCGTGAGGATGGGGGTCAGGGGAATGAACCCCCAGCTCCCCTAGCCCAGGTCTGCACAGAAAACACCTTAGCAACCCCTCCTTCTCCCCTTGCTAACTGCTTTTGCCTCTGAGGGGCTGGGCGGGCAGGGTTGGGAACATACCCACTCAGCCTGGCACTAGACCCCCAGCTGGGATCTGCAAGGCATGGAGAGAAGAAAGCCCCCTCCACTTGACTTTTTGTCTCCCCTGCAGCCCAGAGAACCAGGCCACCAACTGTCGACTCACCAACTGCCCTTGGCTTAGAGAGGCTGGGGGGCAGGGGATACACCCACCCAGCCCAGCACTGCATCCCCAGCTGGGGGCTGCAAGGCACGGGGAGGGGAAAACCCCTTCTGCCAGGCTTTTCTCCCCCCTGTAGCACACAGAGCAGGGCTTGGACCCTTAGCCCTGCCCCCTCACCAGCTGCTCTTGCTGCTGGGGGAGCAAGAAGCAAGGGGGCAGGGAATGCCCCCACCTGGACTGGCACTGGTCCCACAGCTTGAGTCTACAAAACAAGGGGGGAGAAGACCCCTCCCTATGGCTTTTCACACCCTTGCAGCCCAGAAAGCTGGGCTGGGATCCTTTAGTCCTGCCCCCTTGCCTCTGATAGGGGAAATGGGGGGCAGTGCACCTTTGCCAGGGGTGGGGAACCTTCACTGGGGCTGGGAGATTGCCAGCCTCAAGCTGGAGGGACTGTTCCCTCTGCCACCTGCGAGACCATACTGAGGAGTGGGAAGGGGGGAATCCTCTCTCTGCACCAGGGGTAGGGCTTGGGAGACCCTGTGAGGGGTGGGGAACTCCCACTGAGGTGCAGGGAACCAGCCAGCCTGCGGCTGAAGGGACCGTTTCCCCCTGGAGGGGGCAGCAAGGCATTGTCCTGGGCAGCCAGTCAAGGATGAGCCCTGCTCAGTTGCCTTTTGGTGCCTTCTACAATGGTCCTCAGGCTGAGAGGCATGCTCTAGCACCCTCTGGCTACTGGTATGGGCCACTGCAGGGGTCTGGTTGCCTTTCTGGTTTCAAAAATGAACATTAGTAGTTCACTTTATCAATTCAATCTATGTAATTTGAAGAAACATGCAAAAATTGAATTGATTCAGCCTGGGGGTTTTTTGACTACAGTTACTCTGCAATAGCATTGCTAAACAGCTTTTTGGTGATGCTGACCGCATAGTAACTTGACTACTGCACAATAGTGTCACATCATGCTTCCTTCTACGTGATGCTACCTGCGAAGTCAGCATCTCGTGTAGATGCGGCCAGTGTTAAGTTAGTTTAAGTTGTTTTGTTCTCTTGTCACTCTTGTGTTTTATAAGTTACTCTAGTTTTGTAATCAAGTGGACAACAATTCCAGTATTTACTGAAAATTCTATCCAGAAGGTTTTCTGGTTGCTTGTCATTTACATCACACACTTTTTAATAAGTTTGTTTGTTTTGCTTTGCCCTGCCAGCTACACTGTCTTTCCCTACAGGAGAGGATGGTCAGGATAAGAATGGATCATAACAGTCTCTCCCCTCCATTCTGTACCAGGCAGCAAACCTGCTTCAATGTAGGTGTAGGAGCAGTTGCTTCATTTTCACAATGGGAACTCCCTTGGAGAAATTCTGCCTGATTCTGACGTTTTATTGTGGAAAAGTAGTGATGAAGAATTAATCTGGAAAAATCCAGAAGTATTACATGAGATTCCAAAATTCTAAGAAAAAGTTGTGTTCCAGCATGTAATTTACTTGTTATGCCATTAATCATCTTTAGTACATACATTGACATTGTTCGTGAGTTTGTAAGACAACAAAATATAGGAAAAGATTGTATCTCTTAGTTTGATTCAATGAAATAAAATTTTAAAATTCTTTTATAGGCTTATGTAGAAAAAGATGAAACTATCGTTAGAAATACCACCGACATGTATGCATTGGTATTTTTAGGATTCGGAATCACTTCTTTTTTTACATTTTTCCTTCAGGTATGTTTCATTATTTTGGCTGACTAATCAATGTGTTATCTTCTCAGAATGTTTGTAGTTAGCTAAGTATACAATGATGAAGCATAGCTAGTTTATTGATTGCCTCATACCAGAAAGATGGTGCTACTGATATTCAAAATTATCTCTTTGGATGAAGAAGTAATTCACATAAGTAAAATTAAAATAAGATCAAGGGGTTGCTTCAAACCAGGGGTCAGGAATCTATAGCCAATCCATGAGCAGCTTGTTCTAGGGTGCAATCATGGGGCTTTGGATCCATTCAGTAGGCAGAGGGTTTGGCAGTGGGGGCTTCTCCCATGCCACAGCAGAGAGAATCAGCAGTAGTGAGGACTTGTCCTGTGCCATGGCACAGAGAAGTGGCAGCAGTCAGGTCCTAGTATCTGCCCACTCAACTCTGACCCAACTGGGTCATTCTACCCCATAATCTAAAAAGGTTACTAGTGACTATTGTACACCATTTTAGGAAAGGTACTTCCACTAGTTTTTTGATGGTTTGTTTGTTAAAACTAGCTGGGATATAAATAGGCATCCTTAAAAACTTTTAAAATGTGGGATTTTTGGTATTCACTTAAGTGTGTACCTGATAAATATTTTTTATTATTTTGTTGTGTAATAACCATTCTTTCATCTCAAACAGGGTTTCACATTTGGCAAAGCTGGAGAGATCCTTACAATGAGGCTTCGATTCATGGCCTTTAAAGCGATGCTTAGACAGGTAAAAGGGCACTTTAAAACTGTTTAAGAATGTCTACACAAAGGGTAAGCATTCTTTATTGTATTAAATCAGTCAGTTTTGGAGTGTAGATTAAGCCTAACTACATGAACTGAGAGAGAAAAGTGCTGTCTTCTGGAATCCAGTTCTGAAGCTCAAACTTGTTTTAAATATGCAGTTATCATCATTGCACTTCCAGATAACTTCACTTGTATCTAAGGTTCCACAGTTAATTATTGGTACAAATTATAATATTTGTATCTCTGATTGACCCATTTCACTTACAAAACTGGAGGCTGGATAAAGGCCTTTTTAATTATTTTTAATTTTAATCCCAACTAGTACAGGAGTAAGTTTGTAACTACAGATGTGTAACACCTATGTTACAGAAGTCACAGTAAAAGTTGGAAATAGTCAGAGGGTGTTTGTACACGCCATGCGATTTTCTGTTTTCCTGATGCCTGTAGAATGCTGAACACTCAGTAGCAGTGTGTACTGTACTTGTACTGCTGAGCCTGCAACACTATTGAGCAAGCCTCTATTTGATAGGCAATGAATAGGGAGAAATAAAAACCTTTCCAGGATCTTACACCACATCCTCCATTCTTGGTATAACTCTATTAATGATACCCTTGTATTGAAAGACAACCAGAAATTTGCCCTAAATCTGTTGTTGCCACTACTCTCATCTGCTGATTTTTCTGAGTTACTTCGCTTGCATGTCCTCCTAGCAGGAGTATGGGGATGCAGTAGTACATTAGATAAGGTGACTTGCTATACATTCAGAAGCATATATATCTGAGTCTTGATTTAGATTTGCACTGAAGGCTTCCACCAGTCAATTAAACTGTAAATGGATATGAGGTCCTTCAACTGGGGAAAACAAAAATAGCTGGAAGTAAAATTAATCACATCATTCCCCTGTATGCCATTAGCTATAGAACCTGGTCTGTCTTAACCACAATAGCCCAAGACACCACTGGGCACATCTAAATGTGTAATTAAGATGCACAAATAAATGCCAGAGCTTATTGCTTGAAAGTTTATTGCTCCTGAGCACAGCATCTTCACGTGCACCTGGGCATGTTGAGCCAGATTAGAGCAGCCTCAGCTGGCAGGGGGCCAAGGGCTTAGTTTGTGAGCCTGGGGCTGCTCCCCTTGGCTCAATGTGCTGTGGAGGGGTTGGCTGGGACCTTTATAAAGTACCTAAATGTGAGGGTACTTTAGCATGGGCCTAACCAGCAGGGGTAGCATCTACACATGCACTGCTGCAGAGTAAAAAACTAGGAAGCAGAACAGTACTTGTATTAACTTGTAAATATAAGTACTATTCTGCTGTGGATTTCATTAGTTTACTCCTAATAGGGGGGCCTGTGTAGATGTGCAGCATATACAACGCAGCTAATTAATCTACTGCACAGTAAATGTCTTGTGTAGATGCGTCCACTGGACATGTCTAGATGTGTATTTTCTATGGCAGCAGTTTACTCATGAGTACATTACTCACAAGTAAACACTTCCGGGCAGGTGTCTACACATGCAGGGAAGTGGCAGCAGAGTTGCTGCTAAAGTGGCAGCAAATCTGCTGCTGCTTCCTGGGGCACTGCAATGGTCCCCTGCTGCCACCAGGGGGAGCTCCAGGCCCTCCTTAAAAGCCAGTCCCACATGCTGTTCTCTGGCCAGCCACTTCCTTGGCCAAGAGCAGCTGTGCCCACCAGAGGGGCAGCACACAGCAGCACTCTCCTCGCTGTCAGTGCCTCCTCGTACCATGGCTGCTCCAGCCCTTGACCCTGGCAGCAATGACCAGTGCTCTGGGCTCCTGCTAGCCACCACACTGGTTCTCCCGTGCTGACCACTGTCTGTTTCATGGCCCTCTTGGCCCTTCTAGCTCCCCCAGGTCCAGCAACTGCCTGCCTGCCTGCCTGCCTGCTGTGCATCATTCCAGGGCCACAGCTGCTACCCACCTTCCACCTCAACCCCATGCGCCTAGCCAGACCCTGGCAAGGATGCTGAGGATGGGCTCCAGGACACCACCACTGGAGTTGCCAACGCCCTTCTGGGCCTCCAGCCACACTGCTTCTGGCCTACTGGGCCAGAGTGGACTGGTGGCTGCATGTTGTCCAGCACACCTTGGACAATGAGAAGTGGCTGGAGGCATTCTGGATGACCTGGGCCACCTTTCAGGATCTTCTGGAACAGCTCCAGCTGCACCTGGTGCAGCAGGACACTGCCATGCACCCACTCTTCCCTGTGGACACCTGGCTGGCCCTTGCCCTGCTGAAGCTGGGCACACGAGCAAGCCTATGGTACATCAACCACCTGTTTGGTGTGGGCAAGGCCACCATCAGGGAGGCCATCCTGGAGGTCTGTGGTGCCCTCCAGGATATGCTGAGGGACACCAGGCTTTGTGTGTATGACCCCCTGGCAGTGGTGCTGGGGTTCCACAGCCTGGGATACCCCAGGTGCATCTGGCCCCTACACAGGACCCACTTCCCTGTCACCTGCCTGCCCCATGGTGACTGCCCCTATTACAGCTGGAGGAGATTTCACTCTGTGGTGCTCCAGTTAATCATAGACCATTGCAAGGCCTTCATACACATGAGTGCCAGCTGGGCAGGCAGCACCCACAACACCCGTGTCTTCAGGAACTCTGGCCTGCCAGCCCTGGTGCAAAGCAGCTGTTTGGTGCCGGACCTGCAGCTGGGCATTATGATGGTCACACCCCTGCTCATCAGGGACCCTGCCTACCTGCTCCTGCCCTGGCTCATGCAGGCCTACTCTGGCAACCTGGACCCTGGCCAGGCCCACTTTAACTGGTGCCTGGGTCAGACCTGTGTCCTGGTGGAGTGTGCCTTTGGCCGCCACAAGAGCCACTGGTGCACCCTCATTGCCTGCCTTGAGTTTACTAAGAACAACCTCCCCTGGGTCATCATTTCAGCCTGTGTGCTACACAGCATCTATGAAGCCCCAGGGGTGCTCTTCTGCGAGGCCTGGGCAGAGGACACCTGTTGGCAGGAGTGGCAGGTGGCAGGCACCTGGGCAGAGGACACCTGGTGGTAGGCACCACCTGTGGTGGCAGCAACAGTGGTGGCCCACCCCTGCCAAGGCACGAGGAGAGCTGCGCACCTGCCAGTGGGGCCAGGGCACTGAGTGCAGGAGGCAATGGCTGACCACCTCCTCTAGCACTCCCTGCTCTAACCCACCTGCACTGCCCCCCATGGATCCCCAACCCACGCCTGCCCCTAGCACCATGTTCTTCTGAGACATGTCTGCAGTGAGCAAGTTTTTATTTCCCTTACATCAGTCAGAGCCCCCCTCTCCTCTTCCTCCCCAAACAGAGACCCTCAACCACCCAACCCACCTACATACAATAAAGCACCATCTTCCCCATGAAAATGATCTACAATGTCCAATGTGTGTCATCCTAGGGTGCGGGGCTGTGGGATGGGGGTACCTAGGGGCCAGAGCCTGGGGACAGGCAGCCAGCACCCTGGGGCTGTGGATCTGTCATGGCAGGTGCTGGCCTGGGCTTCCTGAACTGTTGGTAGAGGGTACAGCCAGGAGGCTGGGCAGAGCAGGCTGCTGCAGGCCTGAAGGGCCCTCCTGGGGGTACAGGAGCTCTGGAAGGCCAGAGCAGGAGCTCAAGCTCTGGCAGGCTGCCCATGCCACTCTGGGCAGCATCAAAAAGATGTGCTGATGTGACATAGTGACAATACCTGGTACAATTGTTTTTGGCCTGAGATAACATAGTGCTATTGGTGTTAATGCAAATTAATGGGACTTGCACTTAATGCAGTTTATTTTGAATTGTAACATATAAGGGATATGGAATTTGATTCACTCCAAAAAAAATAAATAAAAAAATGGAACCCTCCATACTATACATCATGTTGTCAAATAACTCAAATTGAAATGATTTATTTTACGTAAACCAAGATTTTATTGTGGGGTATTTAGAACACTAGAACATTTTTTCAGATTCTAAGAAATGTGTTTTGTTTTGTAGGACATCAGCTGGTTTGATGATCCTAAAAACAGTACTGGGGCATTAACAACAAGACTTGCTAATGATGCTTCCCAAGTGAAAGGCGTAAGTGGCATATATTATATTGGCATATAGCAAAGTTACAGCAGAGATTTGATTTGCTAGATGGCAATTCTTATTTTGGTGTCCATTGCAAAATATTCTTATTTATTAAAGAGTTTTGGGTTTCACACAATTGAAACATATAATAATGCTAGATATTGTAATATATGTTTTCAGTATAACATTCTGGAAGATGTTTCATGGCTGGAGCATTACCACTTTCCTATGCTTTCAATTTTGCTCTGAATCTGTTAATCTAAGAACTTTATTTAAAGTTAACTACTTAATCAAACCAGATTTTTATGTAGCATGTGTTGCCATAATTAGTGTTACAATCCAACAAAGTGCCTAAGCATGTGCTTAACTTTAAGACAGTGAATAGTTCCATTACATAAGTAAGTTTACTGACATGCTTAAAGTTAGGCATCTGCTTAACTTAAGTACTGAGCTGTATTGTTTTATGATAAAAATATCATTAGCTCAAGGTCCTGCTTCCTCTCCAAATGACGCCATTGTATGTTCCAAGAGACTTGGCAGATTTGAAGTTATAGTTGTAAATACAAAAACTATGAACTATATAAACTCCCTGTTTAAACTTTCTGCTCAAAATGCTAAATTACAGCTGAAAATCTGGAGTGATCAGAGGGAAACTTGGGGTTGGAGAGAGGTATTACTGCAAACAGCAAAGAAAAAAAAACTAGGCAGTAAAGTCATCTTTGAAAGCATGTGGCAAAAACTCTCCCTCTAGCAAAATTAAAGCACTTTCAGGTGTGCTCTGGAAAATAAGCCTGCACCAGCTTCTGGATCATCTAGATAAGTATTATCCATGTCTAATGTTCATGTTGCCTTTCTACACAGAAATATGCAATACAGTTGTTTTATTTGGGTTTTGGTTTCTTTTAGGCTACAGGCACCAGACTGGCTTTAATTGCCCAAAACATAGCTAACCTTGGGACTGGAGTTGTTATATCACTGGTGTATGGCTGGCAGCTGACCCTTTTGCTTTTAGCCATTGTGCCAATTATTGCCATCTCAGGAATGATTGAAATGAAAATGTTGTCTGGACATGCAGAGAAGGATAAGAAAGAACTGGAAATTGCAGGAAAGGTGGGTCCAATGAAGCTTAACTTGCTTAAAGGTACAGTCCTGTCATATATGACATTGGTAATAGATCAAAAGTACATTGCTTCTAAGGAAAGTCATGCTCCATAGTGTTATGTTATTTTTCATTTACATATTGCTGTACATGCTAGATAATGAACTTAAAACTAAGAGCATATTAGTTGATATTATTTACATTGTTATAATACCCAGAATGTGCAATGGTATCTAATGCACAATTCACACAATCATGTTCCTGCCATGCCACATGTGCATCAACACGTGGCAGGTACACGGCGTTGCGCCACTTCAGGGGCAGTGGCTGCAGGGTGCAGAGCTCAGCCCACAGTGGCAGACCACCTCTGCCCTATGCACAGATTTGGGGGGCACATGCCCCCCAGGCCTCCACCGGTGTGCACGCAGTGGCGGAAGCCCACCCCGCCACACCCCCTGCAACCCTGGATGAGCCACCCAGGCTCTGAGCATCCTATGACCCACCCTAGCCCCGGGGCCTCATTCACCCCAGCCCCACTCCCTCCCTCACCACAGGGGCTTCAATCTGCTCCCCCATGTCCCTTCACTACAACAGACTTACCTGTTGTGGTGGTCAGTGCTGTACATGCTGCTGGGCTACTGCAGGCTGTGGCTGCATGTCTGTGTCTGTGCGTGCCCCCCCTGCCCACTGCAGCCACCCAGAGCCCATGCCCAAGCTGCCTTGTGGCCCACTGTGCTGCCACTACTGCCCCACATTTTGGGGGCTAAGCCCCGTTAGCCCTGGACTTCCACCACCTATGCTTGTCAGCTGCAGGCCTGGCAGCCAGTGGTGCACCCCTGCCCCAGCCACAGGGGAGCACTTGACTATGTGTTCAATTAATGGTGTGATTAGAACAAACTACAAAGTTATTACACATTTTCTGTGAACTAATTTTTAGCTTATTGCTTGTTTTATTACACCATTCATTGGTTGAACGTATACCTGGGCTACAACTTAAGGTTAATCATGCCTTAAGTGTAAGGTGTAAAGGGGGCCTGTAACACACTTTCTCTTTTGCTATCAAAAATATTGCTATTCATATTCAATAGCTAAAAGTAAATTCCACTGATATAATAGTGGGCTCTGAGTCAGAGTTTCACAAGCATCACAAGATTCCTAATAGAGATTGTTTGCCTAACTCCTTAGCCATTTTTCAAAGAGCTATCTGCTCCCCCTTATCTATTTTATTTATTATACCAATAAGGGTAGATTTTCAATCTCAAAGCCAATGGGAATTAAATGCCAAAATGCAATGAAAAATCTTCCCCTAAATGTTCAGAAGTGTGTTGATAGTGTTGAAGTGATGTCATAGCTGTGATGGTCCAGAAAGCGAGAGGCAAGAATTTTTGTGGGTGATATCTTCTATTGGACCCACTGCATGGTTGGGATAGATTTAAACATATTTTTTGTACTACAATACCCTTCCTCAGGTCTCTGAGGGAGAAACAGACACAAAAGAGCTAAATAGGAGATGGAACAAGGGCTTGTGTAAAACTCCACGTGTAAATAAAAACAGGATATGAGAAATTGGTGAATGGAGATTCTGTATGGTTCCCAGTGCAGCCCCAGGGCTGGAAAAGCCCAGCCACTGGCCCCAGTCTTCGGGCTACACTTTTCCAAACACCCCACCCCCAGCACCAGGCTATTTTTAGCCCCCCAGCCTCTTGGTCCCACCACCCACAGACTAGCCAGCTCTCCCCTCAACCCCCCGCCCCCCATCACACAAGCTGCTCCCAGTACTGATTATAGCAGCATTCACCAATGCTGGGGGGAAGGAAGTAAGTCCCAGCAGGGTGAGGGGTGGGGGTTTCGGTTTGCTGTGGCAGGGTCATGGAGCTAAAAGTAGACCCCATTCCCCCCAAACCTTCCAGCAGACCCTGCAAGTCCTCCCTGACCCCGCCAAAACTTCCCAGACCCTACCAACCTCTCACAGACCCTACCTACTCCGCTGATCCCCCTGAAGATCCTGTCTGCACCCCCCCGCACTCCCGCTTATCTCCCCATCCTAACTTACCTTAGGTCCGGTGGCTATTTTTAACTTGATCTAACCTCCCCCTTACCTTCCTGAATATTTGTAGTTAGCCACTATTGCTTCTGTTATCCAGGCTAGTCATGCTGTAGTAACATCTTGTATTGCATTGTAGACATACTCTATGTCACTTAATAGTTACCCCAAGCTATGTTTACCAGGTTAGAATTAAATACTACTGTGCAACCTTGTTTTTTCATTAATGAACATGTCCTTTCTGCAATACAGATTGCTTCTGAAGCCATAGAAAATATTCGAACTGTTGTAGCTTTGACTCAGGAAAGAAAATTTGAGTCTATGTATGGACAAAATTTGCAACTACCATACAGGTAATATATATATATATATATATATATATAAATTAATTCAAACTCTTGGTTTTGGAATTGAGTGTAAATTTTCACTAATAAACTAACATGATAGACTAACATGTTACAGGGTTGTAGGTTGTAGCCGTGTTGGTCTAAGGACATAGGCAGATACGGTTCTTTGGGTGAATCTGATATCTTTTATTAGACCAACTTAAATAGCTGGAACCACTTTTCTTAGCAAGCTTTTGGGTTTAAAAACCCTTAGTCAGGCTGAGGAAGCATCTGCAGTTGGTGTGCTCTTCGTGGATGGAATGAATAGTAAAGAGGCCAGCCCAAATAACCTTTTCTATCATAACATGTAGCAGGCCAAACCCACTTCGGACATAAAAATATGCTATATATTTTACTTCAGGCAAAGTTAATAAAATATAATCCTTAATGTACTGTTCTTTGAATAAATGATACCATTGTATTCTCTTATTGTAGTATAGGCAGTCCTCGGACTTAAGACAATTGGTTCCTGAAAACCACTTCTTAAGTGAAAACGGTGTAACTTGGAACCGATTTCCCCATAAGAAACAGTGTTACAAATGGGGGATTGGTTTCTGAACCGAGGCCCAATACCCTATTTTCACCAAAAATAACCTAGAACGTTATACTCAATCAATTATAGATGAGTAATATAGCTACATTATTGTATTTATATTGTAAATAGCAATCATATTGATTTGGAAAGACTTCTTTGAGGTGACTTTTCTGGACTTTTTGAAGGGCTTTTTGCTAGAGTCTTGTCAGGAGTCTTGGCTGCAGGCTTTTCTGGAGTCTTGTCTGCTTTCTTAAAGAAAGTGCCCAAGGAAGTTTGGACAGATGTTCTCCAGGGAGATGAGTGATGCAGCAAACTTATTCGCTGGCATGGCGTGGTGTTCTAAAGTCAAAACCGATGACAGAAAGTTGAAACAGGGTGTCAATTTGTAAATGTTGGAAGTGCGAAATGCTGTAACTCGAAAGATTGTAAGCTGAGGACTGCCTGTACATGGTACTCCTGTTCCAAAGAGTTTAACTGCTACAGAAGCTATTTTCTAAAATAGAGGTTTCCCTCACTTTATGCTGTACATGCGTTCCTGGAAAACAGTGCATAACTCGAATTTGCATAGAGGGAACCCACTTTACCATGTAACAAAGAGGGATACATTCCAAGACCTTGACTGTACTGACCCCCAGACCCATTTCTACCACTGTTACAAGACAATTTTGGTACTCACCAACGGCAGACAGTACACAGAAGCACAGAGTGGTGGTGAATGTTACCATAATGGGGATGGCAACTAGAGAAACATGTGTCACAGGCAACAAGCATGGAGGACAGATCCACACAGGAGACTATATTTTGGTGCACATCACTCCCACAATGCACCGGACAAAGCAGCTGACTGCAGGCTTTCACCATACCGATCGCATAAGAGTGAATTTACCTTGCATATAACACATTTTTGGCATTAGAAGGGTCATTGCATAAGAGTGAATTCGCACATACAGAACCTGCATAAAGTGAGGGAAACCTGTATAGTCCTTTAATCCATGTTGGTAGTCATAAGCCCTGTTTTCTAGTGTACATATAGTTTTATTAGCCAAAAGTCTACTTCTGCATGATTACTTCATTAAAGCCAGTATAGCTTTGCCTGGGTAAGAACTACAAAGGTAGATCTCAGAATTAATTAGTACTTTCAGTATCAGGCCACTAAGCATCTCAGGTGTTTAATCAGCTTCACATCACAGACAATCTAAAGCATCATCAAGTCATTCCAAATTTCAGAAAATACTGAGTACCAACTCTCCAAAACACAGGGTGAGCACTCAGAATTACTTTCACTTTGGAAAAATATAGGCATACATCTATGCTGCAGAGATGTGATTGCAGCCTATGCAGGCATGTCCATGCTAGCTATAATCCTTCCAAGGTGAGTTCAGTGGAAATGAAGATTAGGGGAAGAATTTCATTATCCTTTCTGTAACTAAATGGCAGTTTTCCAGTTGCCTCATTGGCATTTTTTGGTATCTTGACAGATTTCATTTTCTTACTTCTGCACTATAAATATGTTAGTGTGCACACAATCTGAACATGTGCAGTAAGCTGCGTACTGAACCAAACTCCATGACTAATGGGTATTAGACACTAGAAGAGAAGGCATGCCCTCCTGCATTTTAGTTCCCAGTAATTGAAATTTTGCCCACGAAGTAGGAAACCCAGGTTTTAGGCCCCCGTCATTTATAAGGGACTTACACCTGTGCCTTTCAAATTGGCCAAATATAGTGCTCCAGCCACAATACCACAAGCGAGGCACCAGCCAGACCCTTTCCAGCACTCCTTTTGAAGCAGGTCACCTGGGTAGCCATGTGAGGGATGTGGAAGGCAGTGGTTCTCAACCTTTTGGGGCTTAAGGTACCCCTCTTTGGACATGAGACACCCCTCTATAACTTTTGTGAACTGAGTGGCACCCAATTTCAAAAAAATATTTATATTTTATAGTGCTTACTTTCTTGTAGAGGAGCCAGGCTGTGGGGGTGAGGGAAATCAGCAAGACAGGGACAAGCCAGAGTCTGCAATTATCTGTTTATCTCCACCTTGTTGCATGCTTCAAAGGATCTGGTGGCACCTCAGGGTACCACAGCACCCTGGTACAGAATCATGGGTATAGGTCCAGGAACAAGAGAGCCAGTTAGACAGTGTTTGTTTCAGTGAAACGACCTCTGCTCTGCAAGTGAGCAGGCCTTCAGTTCTAGCTTAGATCCTTGCTCCCACTAAGGCAGAAAATTCTCCACTGCTCTATTTTCTGTCCAATGAATATTCAATGCAAGATACAGCTTCAAGAGGAGAGGAGCCTGGGTAATGCCTAAATTCTAGTCTTTTGCTGGGACATTAGAAAGATGCTGATTCAAATATTCAAAGGTCTATAATCCTGTTTCCTGGGTGTGTACTCTCAATATCTGAGCTAGGCACAGGGAGAGTGGGGGGAGGAGAATAAATCATTACAGGGCTCTACTCTTCCTCCTCGCTTTTCAGCTATTAGGATTAAATCAAGAGAGGGACTTCCTCCTCTTTTTTTTCTGGGACTGTCAAATTAGGCACCTAGAGATGTAGATTTGTACCTGCCTGACCTGGCCAATAGCTCTCTCTGTGTACATGTATTTATGTGTCTACACTGCAGGGGCAACTCACTGAGTTTGTAATACTAAGTGCCAAAAAATGACACAGAGCTTCCTTTCAGCCCGCAAAGGTTAATGGAATACTGCTTTAGATGTCATGGGCTTCGGTGTTAATTGATTTTAGCGCAGTTTATGCTCTGTCACTTTCCTACTTCACATCCACATTTAACCAGAAATTACACAACATTGTTTGCAAGGACAATCAGCATCAGCATGATAGCTCAGGTGTTTTGATTAAACGACAGTATTCTTATCTTAGAGTTGGCATAAAAAATTAGTTTTGACTGAATTATTTTTTGTTTCCTAAAGAATCCTGAAGATTTGTTGTGATGCTGTACAGTTTCAAAAGTGATTATTTAATTGAATCCTTGAAAAATATAATTGCATCACACTCTGATAATTTTTTTCAGGGACACAGAATTCTAAAATATACAAGAATGTTGTACTTTTAGGTCTCAGTCTAAGCTTGGCGATTGCTTCCTCCAAAAATATTACACAACTAACTATTGAACACTGAAGTCAATACAAGCAAAGGGCACTTAATATCTTCTTAGAAATTTAAACATAATTGTGAAAATACCTATTCTTTGTTACAGAAATTCTGTGAAGAAGGCACATATCTTTGGAATTACTTTTGCCCTTTCCCAAGCAATTATGTACTTTGTCTATGCTGGTTGTTTTCGATTTGGTGCCTATCTAGTGAGAAATGGACACATGCAGTTTAAAGATGTAATTTTGTAAGTATCTCTATTGCAATTTAATTTTTTGTCCCTATAAAGAAAGATGCTTGTATATTGCTACAGATAGTCAGGTGTGTTTTTTTGTAGTCAGGCAGAAGACAGGCTGGGTGGCACAATTTTATGGATACAGTAGAACACGGTTTAAGAATCCTCAAAGATAGCCATGAAAAAAACAGAAAAGTTCTTCTTCTGTCCCCAGCCATTTTTATACTCTAAAACAACAGGTGGGTTTAGATATACCCTTACTTATATCTGTGTAATTTCTTGGAGTCAGTGGACCTGTACTGTGGTAAAAAGTGCAGAATGAAGGCATATTGCACAAGTCTGTACTCTGCTTCCATGGACAGAAAGATGGTTTTTAAAACAGATCCAGCTGTGTTTTAGGGGAGCCAGAGAAGTCATTTGCCTTCCCTGCACTCTGCTTTAAAGGACTGGCATAAGGAATAATTGGGATCAAAGAGCGGTAGAGAACCAGAAGACAAGTTACTACAGAAGTGCCTGGCTTCCTTTTCCTTTCCTCTTCCACTTAGCAGAAGAACATATTACAGCCAAATTCCTACAAGGCTGCTAACTTCAGATCAGTACTGTTGGCAGACAAGGTTCTTTGGGTGAATCTGATATCTTTTATTAGACCAACTTAAATAGTTGGGGAAAAAAAAATTTAATCAAGCTTTTGGGTTCAAAAACCCTTTGTCAGGCTGAGGAAGTTTCAGCAGTTGGTGTTTGCTTTTCCTGGATGGGATGAAAAGTAAAGACACCAGAGGCTGGGCTGGTGTGCATACAGTTAGTGAAAAAGTAGATTGAGGAGTCAATGGGTGAGAGACAGGCTGGGTGGGGGGGAATGTCTGTTGTATTTTGGAGATGCTATGCAGAAAAAAAATCTTCAAACTTTAAACTTATGCTGGATATGAAGATTTATGGGAATTTTTAGAGATGACACTTGGATTATGTGAAAAGTAGGCAGATGGTAGTGTTTCCTCAGTAGCGAAGGATGGAGATTGGGAGGAAGGCATGAGGCAGAAGTGTGGAGCTCTGTTTTAGCCATGCTGAGAGCCTACAGAGTCCACATGTGATTAGAGCGTTACTTTGCTATGTACTATACAAGGAGACAATAACAGAAACCCTTATCAGAGTGCTTCAGCCTAAACAGAAAAGGCAAAACATTGTGCAAGAAGAGTGTTATCATCATCCCTGTTTTAAAGGTGTGTGGGGCACTGGGAAATTATATGGCCTTGAGACAAGTCATAAGTAAAACATTTCCATTGGCAAATAGATATGTACTGCTACGCCAGTGGTCTCCAACCTTTTTAAGTAGAAGATTGCCTTTGGCACTTAAAAGGAACCCAAGATCTACCATGTGCCTCTGCCACCACCCCCCACCCCCTCCGCCTGGCAGGTAAGTCTGTGGGGAGGGAAGCGGGGTGCAGATCGAGGCAGAGGGAGAAAAAATTATTTGGGGGTACGCCTCCCCAGCAGGTAAGTCCCACCTGGCCAGGGCTCCACTCAAGTTACCCCATGCTCCTGCCTCTGTGGCAGTGTCCCTCATTGCAGGGGCCTCGATCTAGCTCCCATCCCTTCCCTTCCCCATGGACTGACCTGCTGGGCTGGGGCACGTGTGTGCATGAATGCAGGCCCTCAGCCCCCCACCCCAGCCTCGGATCAACTCCAAGAGGCTCCAAGATCTACTGCGAGAGGGTCCGAGATCTATCAGTGGATCAAGATCCACTGGTTGTGACCACTGTGCTACACTCTTGTCAGTTATTAGCAGGATCAGGTGACTTGCCTAAGATCACTGAGGAAATTTCTGGTACAACCAGGGATTGAAGCTATATCTCTAGGGTAAAATCCAATAATATATTTGTAGTCAAATTTAATGGGACCAGGATTTTTTCATAGTCCAAAAAGCCATCTTGTCTTTAATTTATATTAACAGGGAGTGAAGAAATACCAGTTGCATATGATTCAGATTGAGGCTAAAATAACAACACGCTTCAACTTTTCTGATCTGGAAAAAATAATCTGCTCTTAGCAAGGGAGAAAATAGGGTGATTTAATAGGTATTTTTACTTGTGATGTTTTTAATGATACTGAGGTACAACTGAGAGGAATAAAGGCACAATTTTGAAAAAAAATGGCTCTTGCACTTTAGTGGTTTCCAAATTTGGCTCTGGAAGATGATTGTGGGGGGAGAATTCTTGAATTCTTACAACCTGGCAATAACAAGCCTATAAGCCTCTTAAATACAGGATTGGCAGGGTGAGAAACATAATATCATACAAAAATATGATATTATTTCTTCTACAGCTGCTGTTTTGCCTTGTCCTGAATCCTAGCTCTCACAAACGTATCCTTTTCCCCTGCACTTGCCCCTTGCATCCTTTCCTTCATAGCTGCATAGCTTTGGATGAGCAGTTCTTCTGGATTCAACTTTTTCTCTTTAGATCAAGGTGACCCTTGATCACTGCCAAGCCAACACGTGCTATTTTATTTTAGAGGGAGCCTAGCAATATTTTCTTTTTTTCTTTATGTTTCTAGCTCCTGGAGTCATGAGATTACACATGAATCTCAACTTTATTCATTTTTAAAACAAACATTGTTAGTTCTCATGGTTATAGAAGAAAAATTAAGAACTGGCCATCCAAGACTCAAAACTGAAAGGCAAATTATAAGCAGAAAAACTTACTATTTTTCAAAATGTCCTCTGATTATCTGGGGAAGGGTGACAAAAGTCATGATTTTTTAATGTTTGGGGTAAACAATTCATGAACATGGTGTTCAGTTTAGGAACCCAACTCAAGGCTATCTCCTCCAAATAAAAAGAAGGCCACCCTTCCATAAGGAGGTAAAGGAGAAGGGCCATCAGCAGCTGGAAGTATGAATGTATAGGTGTGTTTTTGTGGTGATAGTGGGTATAAGTAAGGGTACGTGAGAGAACACAGCGAGTGGGTATTTTGAGAGGTGTGTATGATAGATAACAAAACATTTTTTCCATGATGATAAAATGTTTGTGATTGGTTCTGTTAAGCTTTACTTCTGTTGTCTCTTTACTTCCCAGGTGACTATGTATTGTACTCATTACACTTATTTATATAGGCTGCTTCTCTGTAAATAAATACTCTGCTGTAAAGGACAGTACTAAAACTGGTTTTGAAAATCCTAACTAAATTGTCATCTGAGCCACTTGCTTTGTACTGAAAAATGCTTACTATAAACACAATACATAAAAGTAATTCAGCTAGATATAATAGAGGCTTGTTGTACTTAGGATATTGATGAATTCGGATATAAATTACACTTACAGTGTCAAAAATTTCCCCATGCAGCTGCACGTATGGCTACTATAATAAGTTAAGCTGCCTTGAATGTTAATTTTCCATTGAATTTCACAAAATCCAAGTTGCATCAGTTATTTATTATTAATATTTTAACTAAGAACGGGCTCAGTAGTGCTGGGTGTGGTATAATCTCAGAATAGTAGAAAACAGTTCCTGTATTGAAAAGTTTACAGTCTAACTAGACAAGACAGACACAGGGGTAGGAAGAGGAATAGAATACACAACAAAAGTGAACTGAGGGATGGGCATAATAGCATTATGATTTTTGCGGGATGGGGGAAGAGAGAGGCTAAGAGAAAAGACAGAAAAGTGGAGGGAGAGGGAATAGAAAGGGAAGTAAGAAGGACAGGGTATGGGAGAAGAGGGTAAAGGGCAAGTGTTCAAAGAAACCAAGGTGAAAGAATTGAGTAAAGGAGGGGTTGGAGCAAACAGATGATCAGCACAGAAAAATCAGCAGTAAAACCAGTAGAAAATGCTCTGAATATCTGAGATTGGTTGTGTTTGCAGCTGTTCCTACCATCTGCAGACTTCTTAGCATTCTCTTTTCTTCTTCCCCATATTCACTATCTCACTAAATCTTTTCTACCTTTTTGATACTGCTAAAATACTTTTCCATATGCAGGTCAACTGTCCCCTTGACTCCCATGAATTTCTCCTCTTTAGGTTTCAAGACCTCCCCATTCCCTATCTCTTATCTTTGCAAAACTCTGTTGCTGCTGATGTTATCTTTTTATTCTGATCACATCACCCACCCCTTCTTTGGATTTCTCCATCACTTGTCCTTATTTTACCACATTACACTGAATTTCTTTGCCTCCACCCAAAGTTCTGTTTTAATTTCTATTAATACTTTTGCTTCCTGTGGCACTTCCCAGTATGCCTTCCCCCTCACTGTCTCTGGGTCTCTCTAATTTTGCTCTCCTTCTGTGCTGTTGCCTCCTACTCTGGAATACTTTCTTAGCTGGCAATAACATTCTCTCTTTCTTCAAACAATCCCTCCTCTTTCATCTTTCTCTTTAATAATCATACCTTCCTTTTCTTGCGCTGCTGCCCCATACCTTGTCTTTTATTAATCTTACCTCATCTAGTCTTGACAGGGAAGATTTATCTGTTTATAGGGCATGGTAGCTTTGCTATGTCAATGAAATATGCTCAAGGGCACAGATAAGCAAAAATAACATACTGCAGCTTTTTTATCCAATTTACTGGCACATTATTTTGGCAAAAGGATGTTGTTTTGTGTTTTCTTCATAATCTTTTAAGCAATGCATTACCAAACAGAGGATTTTAACTGCTCTTGCAACAGTTACAGTTTCACAAGCAGTTTGTCCCACAGATAGAGCTCACTGTGTGAAATGGCAAATCATGAGTTTCAGCCACAAGTTGCAAACAGTTTCACCAAGATGTCAATATAATTATTCCAAGAGGAAACTGAGGCCCAGAGAAGTTACCATGGCCATAGGGTGATCATACATCGTGTTTTTGTTGGCAGTGTCCCATTTTAAACACCTGTCCTAGGCATCCTTCTGAACTCACCAGTGGAACACCCAGAACAGATGTTAAAATGGCCCTGTCCTGAAGAAAACAGGGCTGTTCCACCCTCTGCTCATGCTCACAGTGCTCTGCAACCTGCCCACCTCCCACTCAACAGAAACTGGAGCTTGGAGACAGATAAGCATGCCAGAGAGTGAGAGCAGGGTGGAATGTCCTGTTTTGTGACAAGGAAAATATTGCACTTCAAATTTTCCCCATGTCACATATTAAGAAAAGAATAGAAACAGAAGCCAGGTTTCCCTCATCTCTTATGACAATAAACAAGGAGGGGAAAGAGGAATTTAGTTCCCTCCCCTGCCAAAAACAAGAGGAAGAAATAAGGATTCCATCAATAAAAAAGGAAAGCACTGAATTTGGGAAAGAATGTGGATATATCCAGGGGTGATGCATAGGGGGTTCATGTGGATGCACGTGCACCCCCTGCATGTGCCAGTGCACCCCCTGCAAAAAGGTGCTGCTGACATTGTCGGCAGTGCCTTTCGCCGGTCACTGCTTGCCACCCCACCACCGGTGGTGGCATCTGCGGGTGGTCCACGATTGACCCTGGCTGCCGCCAACGCTGCTGGTGGCACCTGCAGGAGCTCCCTGCTCACCACAGCCATACTCCCACTACCGCTGCCATGCACCCACCACTGCCGGCGCAGCTGTGCCTTACCAGCCGCTGGGGGCACGCACCATTCATGGATATATCTATTCATGATACAAACCTGCTCATTAACATGATGTTCACAAAAAAAGACTGACTATGCTCTTTGCCTGTCCTCAGTATTATATGTATTCATGTTAATAATTCATACATACTTCACTGTCTCTTTTGGTTTGTATTTACAGGGTTTTTTCAGCTATTGTATTTGGTGCAATGGCACTAGGACAGAGCAGTTCATTTACTCCAGACTATGCCAAAGCCAGGATGTCAGCAGCTCATATGTTCATGCTGTTTGAAAGGGTACCCTTAATAGACAGTTACAGTGAGGAAGGACTGAAGCCTGTAAGTGAACAATGCAAATTATATTGCTTACTTCCATAACCATTCATGACTGTTGATATTTTTCCCACCTTCTCTCATTAGATATTTTGATTAAACTGATTTTAGGGCCATTAACCATAAGACTAATCCAAAAGAAACATCTCACTAAATCCTTTCCTGTCTTTTAGTATTGCTAAAATTTACATTTAAGTCAGTTGTCCTGTTGATTCCCATAAACTTGTCTTTGGTTTCAAAACCTCTCCAATAATGAGCTGAATTTTGCTTCATGACTCAATGGACTATCCATGCCAAACACTTTCTTGTTGAGAGCTCTCTGTACTGTCCAGTGCACTGACTATAGGACAATGTAGCAGGGGTCAGAGATTCTTCCTATCATGCATGACAAAATGATCCTGGCATGGACCTTGGATAGTCAGGCCCCGTTTCACTTTTTATTCAAGATGATAGTAAGAGATAAGTGAGCTAGAATAATTATCAAATACATTTAGTGAAACTACCTGAATCACTCTCAGACATAGACAGCCTATAGCGTATCTGTGTGTGTACGCAGAAGGTATGGACAAATGAGGATGTACAGCGGCTGTCTGTTTACTCCCTTTTACCTATATCTAATAATGGAGAGAAAGAGAGAATGAGAGAGATATGTATATGATCCACCTCAGGCTAGCAAGGTAAGGCATGCCAGTATTCCAGGAAGTGAAATGACTACCATTAATGTCTAGTCACCTCTGATTCCTCAGGCCAAGAAACCTGTTACCCATTTATAGCAAGTTGTAATCAAGGCTGCATTCAGCATAGATCTGGCCCCCAGGCAAAATACTGCCTGGGGGCCAGATCTAACCTGCCAGGTCATTCTATCCAGCCTGTGGGGCCCTTAAAAAATTTAGAAAATTAAAAGGAACTAGCAGCAAGGCCTGCCTAGCCCTGCCCTCCCAGCCAGAAGCCTCCTGCCTAGAAGAGGCTTCTGGCCTGGGACTATGGGACTGTTCTGCTTCCCTGCACTAGATAGGGGTTTAGACAGCTTGCCAAAACTTGGTAAGCAGCCCTCCACCCGAAATAATTGCCCGTCCCTAGCATAAATCTAACGCCAGATTCATTCCTCTAGTGATTTAGCAAAATACACTCCTCCATACCTCTGTTCACCCAGGCTATAAACATGTATTGCAGTGAATTAAAAAGGGGTGTGACTGCTCATAGTAAATCTCCACCTTCTTCCAATGTGAAGTAATTTGTTCATTTGTCCATAACCTCTGTCACTTTCTCTTTCCCGTCACACTCTCATTCCCAACCCTTCTCAATTCAGTACCTTCAGTTCCTACAACAGCCATAGATTCACATGGCATCTTTGACAGCAAAGATGGTTGAAATTTGCTCCATCTCATTTTTGAATTGTAAATGATAATAATGAAGGGTAAGAAAATTGATGTTAAGATTTCCTATGAATTATAAGTTTGACATGTTATGCAGGTTAAGCCATTTGTATGTTTATATAATAATATTTATTACACTGATTTTATAGTTTTGGGGGGGAAGTGTTAAAACAGAAGGATTGCTTTGGTTTGGAGGCCAAGACTATAAAAAAACCCTTGATTTCCAGTAGCCAACTTGAATCAGTCCCCCTTTTTTCTAAGAAGATGTTGAACAAGCAAGCCCTCTTGGAGTATCAGAAGCTGGGCACCTAAAATTGTTATAACTTTTGAAGAACTGGTCTTATTTTAAAACTTGTTTGAAGCAGAATTGCCAAAATTTAAGGGCCTTTTCAAAATATTTTTTGAAATATCACAGAATGGCCAGATCCCAATAACATTAAAATTAACTGCAAAATTCCGATTGATTTCATTAGTAATGCTCAGCACCTTCTTTTAGGATCTGCCAAAATTATCCTACATATTGATCATATATAACCTTTTCAATTATAGGAAATATTTGGTGGCAACATAATGTTCAAAGAGGTGATGTTTAAGTACCCAACTCGACCAGAGGTCAAAGTGCTTCAAGGTTTGAATATTAAGGTAGAAAAAGGACAAACCTTGGCTCTTGTGGGCAGCAGTGGCTGTGGGAAAAGCACTGTTGTTCAATTGCTTGAGAGATTCTATGATCCCCTTGATGGAGAAATGGTAAGTAGTTATTTGTGAAGATCTAACTTTTAGTTAAATTATAACTTACCTGTTGTATTCTTGTTAATGGAGTAGAATGCACTAGATATTTTTATATTTTTGTAATGTTCAAAAAGATTAGGTGTAGGTACTTTTGAATTTTCAAGGTTCTTCACATATAACCACAATAAACAAAGGGAGAATGCAACTTTTCCCCCATCATTTTGAGAACTTACTGAATGGTTGAGAAATGCTACAGCAGGGGTGGGCAAAATACGACCCACGGACCAGATCTGGCCCACCAACTCATTTGATTCGGCCCACAGGCTGGCGCCCACTAATTAATTGTGTCTGACCCCACTTGCGGCTGCCCCTGTTGCGCTCTGCATGGGGCTGAGTCCTGCCTTCTCCCACCTGGAGTGGTGTCTGCTGTGCTCCCGGCTTCCCCTGCCGGAGGGCGCCATCCCTGGCCAGGATGCGCAACTTCTGAGCAGGGCTACTGCTGGTGCTGCCCAGGGAACTGCTGAGCTCCCTGGGCCTCCAGTGACTCTTCCTCCTGTCCCTGCTGCAGTGCTTGGGGCAGCAGGTAGGGAGGGGAAGCTACAGCATTGAGGGGAGCAGGGCTCTGCCTGCAGCTCACTCTGGTCCTGCTTGTGCACGGCTGGGCTGGGGAGCATGTGTATTGGGGGTGATGCTGAAGGAGCTCACCTGCTCACAAAGCCCCACCGTGCAGGCACAGGAAGTGGGGCTAGAGCAGGAGCCAAAGCGAGCTTGATGCAGCCTTGCTGGGCAGGTATGCAACAGAGACCAAGGGTGCCAGGCTCAGCTGCCTGCCCCTCTTCCCCTCTCCTAGGGGCTTCTCTTGCTGCCCGTTGGCGGCAGCTGCTTTCCTGCCTTTTGCAGCACACTGGGAGCCAGGCAGGCAGCACTGATCCCCTTCTACCTCCTGCTGAGGGGCTGGGCTGAGCCACATCACAAAGAGCAGGCAGGGGGTAAGCCCCCTACATGCACACACCCAACCCACCCAAACTCCAATCACACCCCACAAATGCACCCACACTTCCTCACACACCGCACCATACCCACACACATATGCCACCCACCACCACATACACCCTCTACCCCATCACACAATATACAAACAACCCCTCTACCCCCCACCAGATGAGGCAAGAGGAAAGACTTCCAGTGACAAAGGTAAGGGGTTAGGGGATGGGAATTCCAGTTACAAGATGGGCGGGCTACCCTTGCAGCCCTCAACACCTCAGCAAAACTCATTAAGGAGCCCTCCAGCCAAACAAATTGCCCATCTCTATGCTACATGCACATGATTTAGAAGCTGCGCTAAATTCGGTGCAAAGGACTGCATTGGATTCAATGGTATTTTGTAGGGGGTCTGTAATAGCTAAATACTTACAAATGAATAGAAATGTTATCAGAGATGATCTACCTATATGCACTCAACATGTATCAATTCCTTTTACATTCTATATCTTAAAACAGCTGAAGAATAATGTTTTTGCTTCTTTTTAATGTTCAAAACTCTATTTATGCTACTTAAAATGTGCCCAGACACTATGATTACAATAATGCTTCCCGTATACTTACAATGATCTTAGCTTAAAATACATATAAAATTGTATATGGTTTCCTAGTTAATCAACATTTATAAAGCATTTTTTGTATTATTGTTATGACCTTCCTCCCATCCTTGGCTCCCCCTGTAGGCTCATATGGCTGGGGCTCCTAGCCATGTCCCAGCCGTAGCCAGGACTGAGAGACCTGCCAGGTGTGGGGACTCAGTTCCAGCGTCTGTGGGTTGCTGCTGTGATCTCCTAGCCCCAGGGGTGCATGGAGCACACCATATAGCTGGAAGTCTGTGGAAGGGCCCCTGCAGCTGAGAAATTGCAGTGGCTGGGGTCTCGCACTCTTGGGGAGGTGTTGTGTGGGACTGGGTTGGTGTGGTGCAGAGCCCAAGCTGGGCATGTGAATCCCAACCCCACAAGGGATCCAGCCCAAACTTCTGTCAACAGGGGAGCACTAGATCATCAATCGCTAACAAAATGGTTTGTCTCCCTGCTTGCTATTCACTCTATTGGCACTCAGTTGACCTTTCATGCACTGGTTATGCCCTTGCATGACCAGATTACCCCAGGGCACAAATTGTGCCTCCCTTGATTCCAGCTGTGCTTTAGGACTCTAATCGTGGCCTCCAGCCTCATTCATCACCACACCCATGACTCTCAGACATTGCCCACTGCCTTGCTCCATCCTGTGGCCTCCATACCATCCCTAGAGCCACAGTCTGGTCCTCTGGTATCTTAAACACAAAATGCAAACATAAAACCATCAACCCCTAATGTAAGTTAGTACTCTCACCTTGGGTGTCTATGCTCTGCAAGCTCCTGTCTGTGCTTCCAGGGTCCCTGCAGCCACTCATGCAAAAAAGAGCTCTTTTCTGTCCAGGGAGCAAGATCTAAAGGTGCAGACAGAAGAGCAGCTCTCTGTTGTAACTCATGGCACTTTGCAGGAAGTGCCATGAGTTACAATGATCACCTGGACTCAACAGAAGTTTGCTGTTGAGCCCCAGGGGTTGGGGAATCCAGCTGCTGACTGTGAGACTGCAGCTGGTCTCCCCTAACAATGCCTCTCCCCACTCTTAGCCTTGGTTCTGTTTTCAGAATGGGAAGGAAGGGAGGAGAGTGAACTCTGTCTGGGGGTTCCCAGCCAGCACTGGAGGGTGGGGTGGGTGGATTTGAGGCTACCCCTCCCACAAGGTGAGGGGGCCCAGTTCACCTGCCCTACCCTCCCGCATAGGCTGAAAAACCAAACTCCCTCCCCGGTCCCTTTTTCCCCTCCCATTCTGAAAACAGAGCTGGGGCTGGGAGGCAGCACAGACAGAAGTTACTGAGGGTGCTCTCTTTTGAAGCATCATCATCTGAATCCTTGTGCAATGAGAGTTCAGAGTTTTATGGGATCAGGCCCTTTTAAAGTGCTCTGCAGCTGTGTACTTCTGCTTAGTCACTACTATAGAGTGCTTTCAGGGGCCAGATTGGGCAAAAATTGTCACTTCTGTCTGTTCTGCGCTGAGCTTTTCTACTCCTGAGCTCTTCCTCTTTCTGGTCGCATAGCTCCCTTAGCTCCCTTATGGAGCCGAGTGTCTCCTCTTGGCATAATGAGTAGTCTGCTCCTCTGGTGTAGTTTACACAGCAGAGCTGCTTACTGAGTAGCTGACTTGACTGCAGCTGTCCTCATCAAAATTCTGCTCTAGCCTGCTGCTCTCCTTTCTTAAAGTAACAGGGGCCTTGGCCCCCTGTTACACCTTGAAAAACTAGTGTTCCTTCTGACTCTCAGAGACTTCATGGCTTCAGTTATTTATCACACTCCATATGCTCAGGTAGAAATGAGAATACTGAAGCATTAGCTAGCAGTGGAATACATATGAAGTGCAGACAATCTGCCTAAAAACTAACTATTCCAGAAGAAATGCCACTGTCTTTGATGGGATGAATCCAAGATGGGATGGATGCAAGAAGCGTTAAGTCATCCACTTCTGTCAGTGACAATCACAATCTTGGATTGTGGTTTTATGGTACAAGGTCATTAGATGAAAGAGGAAAAGACTGCATTACTAGAGTTGAGACCAGTTAATCTAGCTCCCAAGCCTGTTCTTCCTTCAGTATACATGGAAAAGTAGTACAGGTTGTCCCAAGCAATATAATGAAAATTTATTATCTCAGCAAGTGGTGTCAAAGTACTTTCCCAGCTATGTAGACATAGGACTGCTGTACCCAGCAAAACATTTCTAACCAACTAGTGAGCAGGAAAAAGTGTCCTGTGGATCACCTAAGCAGACATATGCCACAATTTTCAAGACACATTTGTTACAAGAGTAACTTAAAGTAATTTTGGGCACTGATCTCTGTATACACAGCTGTTAACAATCTCTATCTCTTCTAGGTTCTTCACTGTTTGTGGGGTGGCCCGGGGGTGGGGTGGGGGCAGGAGAACCAAGTTTTCCCTCACTTCTAATCACAAATTCTCTGCCACTGCCTGAGCAAAAGTCTGGTAACATACCTTGTCTCTTTCTGTGCCTTCTGCTTCTATTTTCTGGTACACACAGGATTCTAGAGTGTCTGTCTCACATTTTTCTAACTGTTTTTTTGATCTCTCTGAAGCTGTACTGCCTGCACAACGCTTTGCTATAACCTGAACTGGTACCTTACACTTTACAAACTTCACAGCAAACACATACCTGCTCTTGTTCTTCCTGCATAGAAGACTGTAATTATTCTCAAGGGCCCTAGAGTCAAAGGACCCTGTTCATTCACACAGCCCTTCTAGCAGAGAGATGACTTTCTTTGCTTTCTAGCTTCCTACTGTAAACACAACAGGAGGTTCTCTGCCTGACTTGGACATACAAAGTCTCCTGGTTAGCAGTAACAAACAACACCTCCTGCACAATACTTATAACTTTAGTTACAATTACTATACAGCTCTACCTTACTACAAGTTTCAGCCAATCCCTCTAAAACTGATCACTTTGTATCAACAAATTCCCATATCAGTTAGGTTACTACTCCTGTGTCCTGGTAAAGTTGCCAACTGTTGGACTGGATTTGAACCCAGCACCTATACCTTTGTTCTGGATGGACATAATCCTCAGGCTGACCACAACACCTGCCAGTCAATGATAGGTGAATTTATTGATGCAGAGTAAGAAAACAAAAGAGCAACAATACAAAAAATTAAACAATTCTATATCCACTAAGCCTAGGGCTGTCATCAGAGTTAAGGTACATCTGGCCAGAATGCAGGCTTCACTCTGAGGCTTTCTCTCTTAGGTGTTAGCAGTCTGGAGGTGAAATCTTGAACACTCCAAGCTAAAGCCTGGAGGGTAGTTGCTTTACTGAAGGCCGGCTTCTGTGCTTTTTCACTTAAAATTCCCTTGGCCCACCCTTGGGCTGTAATCCAAGTTGGGCTAGACAGGCTCTCCTAGGGCCCCTTCAATGAACCCCCATTCTGTTTAACTCAGCTCTCAATAAAATCACAGAAGTCTCCCTGACCCCACACACACAGAGGAAAAGCCTCTGAACCCACTGCCATGCTACTGGGGAAAAGTATAAGATGGGGTACGATTGCTGAGGTGGCCCAGGAGAACCTAGCACACTTGTGTGTAAGTACGCAGATAGGCCTTACCCTGGTAGAATCAGGATGATCAGTCCCCTCCAAATGTGTTGAATCTTGCCAACTACACCAAGATGTTAGACCCTGACTCTATGCATCACCCAATGACTAGGGAGACGATGATCCAATTGCCTGGGATCCAGTTGCTCAGGGAGCAAACAGGAAGCGAACACCAGCGCACATTGTTCACAACAGCTTTATTCAAAATGGAGACAGCTTCGGGTGAGCTCCCAAAAAAGAAAAACGGGAGAGCAGCAGCGAACATTAGTTCTTTCCACATTTATACACCTTTGTTCACGCTCATTAACATTTACTCCACCTTATTGTCACCCTAACAACATTTATAAACCACCATTCATTCTTAAGCATAGCATTACATTTGATTGGACAGCACTTCAGTCCTGCAATTAGGATTTAAAGTCCTAATTGTGTGATACTATTTGTCAATCTACCTCAGTAAGGAAATATGCAAGACACCTGAAGAAGGAATAAAAGTTGCTTGTATATGGAGCTCTTTAGGATGAACTTTGCATATTCATGCTCTTTCCCCACCTTCCCTACTGAAACAGCATCCTAATGAAATCTTGACTTTCAAGAGACAGGACCTGAGGTATCAGACAGCATCACATCTTTTTTTATAGCCCAGCCCTCAGATCATTCTGAGATGCGGGGAAAAGTAAGAGGGAGGGAAACATAAACACTCAAATAAGTATTATTAAGAGAACGTTTCAGTGCCCCACCTGTAAGGATTGACATGACCATGAAAGTGAATGTGCAGTGTCTATCACAAAGAAGTGTGATCCAAGGTAATCTCAATTTAATTTCTATGCTTCTGAAATGCAAGGTCTCTTACTTTTTTAGTTGCTGGATGGCCAAAGTGCAAAAGCATTAAATATCCAATGGCTTCGAGCTCAGATTGGTATTGTTTCACAAGAACCAATTCTGTTTGACTGCACAATTGCTGAGAACATTGCATATGGAGATAACAGCAGAGAGGTGTCACATGAAGAGATTGTCAGTGCAGCAAAAGCAGCCAACATCCATTCCTTCATTGACTCTCTACCAAATGTAAGTTAAACCTGTCTTTCCTACCCCAAATTAAATGTTTTCAACAAGGAAAAATAAGGTGTGCTTTTTCCTACTTTTCTGAGATTAGAAAGACAGCAGAAATGTGTGTTTTCTCTCTGTTGGTTTACACCATTAGAAATTTTTTGTTTTGTCTCAAGTTTTGTCTCACTTTTTTTCTGAAAGACTGAACAAGTGGACAACTAAAGGTTTAGGCCAGCAGAAAAAACTGAAATTCAGATTTTGATAGCTTCCTGGTGGCACAAACCTGTAGCCATTGCTTCCTCTTAAAAGGTCATGAGCTCAAATCCCCATGGGCCTTTGGGCAATAAGTAAAAGTGTTGGTACTTTGTTCAATAGATGATCTCTTGATCATGTCTCTTCTCATTCTATGTTTCTAAGAGATGTAATTGCTTTTTAATTAAGGTAATTGAAAATGTGTTCTTTTTGAAGTACAGAGGCTTTACATGAGGGGGCTTTGTAGTAGTCATCTCAAACATTTAGTAGAAAATATATTTGCTAAAGATCTCATTTAGGGCTGAGATACCTTCCAAGCCAAATTAGGATGAAGACAGGTGTCCTCCAGCTAAACATGTTGAGACAAAATTTAACATTTCTGATATTTCTAAGGTAAAAGAACAGTCAACCTGGGTTTCCTGTATACTCACAGTTTTTGTAGGTCACCTTTAAATGCTACTGTGAAGAATTAATATCCCCAGGATATCTGCAGTTTCCTAGAATTATTAAATGGAATGTAGCATATAGAAATGTCTCATTACTGTTCAAGTTAATTTTTTTCATATATTTTAAATTTGGGTACCCCTCACAGTGAGCTGTACTGTGCATCGTACATTGATTGTGCATCAGTTTAAATTATTTTATGTTTGCATTTTATTCTCTACCAGACATATGAGCATAGTGGATTAGAATGAGCCCCTCTAATAGTTGTAGCTACACTTCTCCAGAGATATCACATAGACTCCTTAGCAAAACTTGCAGAACCTTGGACTACTGAGACAGGGTGTTTGCTCAGCCCTTCCTGGAACAGTCACCCAAGTACTTGGTAGGAAGAAACACCATTAAAAACTAACAACCTAATTAACATTACTAGATAGTGAAGCAGTTCTGGATACTCTGTATAGAAGGGAGAAAATTGCCATACACAAAAGGAATAGCCAGGGAGCCCCAAGTTACTTTTTCCAAGTAAGGAAAAGGAAAATGTTAAGAGAGCTCAAGGAGTTAAGGTCTCATTAATATTCTTAAAATGTCCTATTTAGCAAACCAAAGCTGAATCAGAACTATAATGTCATACATACAATAGGCCTCCAGAGAAATGTGATCTTATTACCATAATCCTTGTCCACCTATGCACCCCTCCATTTACTCCTATTACCATCTTTTGTTCTGTCTTGTCTTTAATTACTTACAAGCACTTTTGAGAACACAGTGCTATAGAGCAGCGGTCTCCAAAGTGGGGTGCGCAAGACGATCCATTGGGGTGCGGGAAGAAAATATTAAAACTTCTATTTATATTTATATAAATATGCATATATTGGGGGTGCGTGCTCAAAATTTTTTACTGATAGGGGTGCGCGATCAAAAAAGTTTGGAGACCACTGCTATAGAGCATCTTTACACATGCTCCAGAATGGTATGTGTGGGGCAGGGGCAGGAGGGAGGAACTTTAGATTGACTGTTGGTAGCCACTCTAATTAAAGCACCCACAGTGTCTTGTGTATTCAGTGTCTTGCACTTCAAAATGGCAGCGGGGGCAGTTTTAAAGCTCATTCAATGTGCTTTAGTTAAAGCGCCCCCACCACCAATTTGAAGTGCAGGAACACTGAATTCACATGACACGAAAGCTGCTGGAGCATGCTAATTAGCACACTCCAGCAAACTCATTTAACTGAGTCTTCTCCAACACATGCTAATTAGCATGCATCAGAGCAGGTGTCGGGCACGTGTATCAGTGCCCATTGTGCCTAGTACATTGGGTCTAAATTATGACTGGAGCCTCTGCATGTTACCATTGTGTAAAAAAAATACCATAGCTTGGGGGAAGAGAACGTTACTGCTGTTGTTACTGCCTGGAAACTGAAGACCTTGGTTGATTTCCTTGCTGTGATACAGACTTCCTGTTTACACTGGTCAAGCTTCTGTTTACCTCTGTTTCCTTACTGTACAATGAGGTTACTATTCCTTCTCAACCTCTCAGGAATACCCTGAAAAGAAAAACATTTAAGATTTTGAGGTGGTAATATCCTACAGTGAAGAGGCCCCATGGATGGATATTTGTGACCTCTAGTAATTCTGGTCATCTGGCTTCAGATAGCTGCTGACATAGAATAGACCCTCAATTAAAAGTGCAAGTTCTATTGAAGTCAATATGCTAATGTCTACATCCAAGGCAAATCACTAGTTGGATGCACTTTCTAAATTCTGTTTATTATATTTAGAAATATAATACCCATGTGGGAGACAAAGGAACTCAGCTCTCTGGTGGTCAGAAGCAGAGGATTGCTATAGCTCGAGCTCTTGTACGTCATCCTCAAGTTCTATTGCTGGATGAAGCGACATCAGCACTTGATACAGAAAGTGAAAAGGTATTTGTTTGGGTGCCTGCTAGCGGGCAGTCATGACTATTCAAACAACTGTTGTGATTTGCCTACTGTTACAGCTTTTAAGTAACTACAATATGTAGTTTTGGAACTGCAAATGTGGTTTTAGGCTGCACCAATAGAAGTATTAGGTGCAAGTCACAGGAAGTGGTATTGCCTCTACTCAACACTAGTTAGGCTCATCTGGAGTACTTTCAAGCTCCACATTTTAAAAAGGACTTGGAGAAGTTATAGAGGGTTCAGAGGTGGGCAACAAAGATGATCAAAGGCTTGGAAGGCAACTCATGTGAGGAGAGGCTGAAGGAGCTAGGTATGTTCAGCTTGTGGAAAAGGTGCTTGAGAGAGGAAATGATAGCAGTCTTCAAACACTTGAAGGGCTGCCATAAAGAAGAGGGAAAGCACCTTTCCCCTCCTGCTGCAGAGAGAAGGAATAGGTTGAAGTTGTAGCAAAATAAGTTAGGTTGGATATCTGGAAAAACTTTTTCACTGTTAGAATAATGAGGAAGTGTAATAGACTGCCTAGGGCAGTTGTGGACTCTCCATCATTGGAGGTGTTCAAAAAGAGGCTGGACAGCCACTGGTCAGGGATGACTTAGCTATGGCTACAATGGGTATATTCTACAATGGGTTTTTTCCCATGCTTCTGGGCTGTGCTGGTTTCTATCCCCCCTCCCCAATTCCTCCTCCTTTCTGCTGCATGTGTCCAGGTGTTTTTAAGTCTTCCCAGAGGCATTGGGTGTTGGCTACAGCCCAGGCTAGGGACTTCATACTCCACTGCCCACGTCCTTCCAGGTTGAGGAGGACCCATCCACTACCACCCTCTGGGTGCGGCCCTCCAGCCAGTTGGCAACCCGTTTGACTGTGTGGGTGTCTACGCCACAGCCCCCCACTTTCTTAATGAGAACGGGGTGAGAGACAGTGTCAAGAGCCTTCCGGAAGTCCAGGAAGACTATGTCCACTGCTACCCCTGCATCTAATGATCTGGTGATCTGATTGTAAAAGGCCACCAGATTGATCTGACAGGACCTGCCACTGATGAACCCGTGCTGATTGCCCCTAAGCATG